TGTTAGCTTACCATCAAACGTATTCTTACCTGTGGATCCTCTATTTGATGCTCAGAATGTAATGTCCGAGGCTTTGAAAGTTGATCATGGGGTGTCGTCAGCATCGCTTATCACCGCAGTACATGCCACTACCCACTCCTGCTTCTCAGTGGAAAGGGACTTCTTCAAAGGCAGATGCAAATGATATCACACAGAGTGTAAATATGCCAAGGGCAACAAGTTCCCCAACCGCCACCAAAGAGCAGACATTTCGTACAGAAAGGTGCAAAAGTGAACAGCTTACCCCCCAGCAAGATGTATCGTCAACACCTCAGTCACCCCCTGAACCAAGTCATACCCAGCTTCAGCAAGTATTGTTGCAAACACTTCAGCATCTCACCCAGAAGTCAGTTTGCCAAGTGCCGCAACCTCAGTTGGCCGAATCACAACCAGACGAGGCTCCCCGGCAAGCCATCGCAGATGCACTTAAACAAGGTCCCACACTTCCGAAAATAGAGTTGATGAAGTTTGGAGGAGATCTGTCTGAGTATGGTGAGTTTGTTGCCAATTTCCGTGACAATATTGAAAGCCAGGTGTCTGATGATTCACAAAGACTTACTCACTTACTTGCTCAGTGTGTTGGAAAGGCGAGAGATGCTATTAAAAGTTGTGTTAATCTTCCTGTTCGTCAGAGATACAATGCAGCCTGGAAAACCCTGTTGAAGAACTTTGGACAGCCTCACATGGTGGCTGATGCTCATATGAGAAAGTTGAGGGAGTACAACCTGAGAAGAGTCGATGCCACAAACCTCGTGCTATCAGTGCTCTGGACCTCATGCGATTTGGCATTGCGAGGTTTTTAGAAATTCATCTCATGAAGATTGATTGCGAACCGTACAACAGAAGAAACTCTGTGGTAGTTGCCTTGGACATGGTCACTTCTCGAGATCTTGCCCAAAGGGATATTCTTGTCGGAAGCCAGGATGTGGAAGGAAGCACCGTTCACTTCTTCACCCTCGTGAGAGCAGAGGAACCATTGGACCTGAAGTAAAACAAGACAGTGCCAATCAGCAACCCATTATTCAAGACCAGAGTTTGGTTGGTGGAACAGCCTCAACCATAACTGAGTCCAACCCCCCCTCAGTTACTGAATCAAGCACATTTGCAGTATCCAGAGATTCCATTCCAGTGGAACCCACAGCGAGTAATAGACCAGGGGTCTGCTTCAAGGTCGTCCCAGTGAGAGTCAGTGGGCCAGGTAGCAATAAACAGCTTGCCATGTATACCTTCCTAGACAGAGGGTGGGACTCTACACTTTGCTTAAGAAGTCTGCTAGAAGAATTGAGCCTTAAAAGCGAACCCACTGATTTCACCCTTTCAACGGTCAATTACGAAGGAAAGGAACATGGCCATCGAACCCGTATAGATATAGAAGCACTTGACAGACAAACAATCAGGTTCTGACGACGCAGAGCCTACCCATTGGTGAGAGGCACTTTGCCAGCAATAGAGAACTGAGAAAATGGCCATATCTTGATGGCATCAGTCTTCCTGAAATAGAGAAGCATAGTGTCCCGATTCTTATGGGCAGTGACCGACCAGATATTATTGATGACAGTTCAGAGATCGGGAGAGGAGATAGAGGCCAGCCCTCTGCTGTGAACACTCCCTTAGGATCGACAGTGTATGGTCCAATGGGTGAACCTAACGGTGATGGTGTCCACATCAATTTCAATAGGAGTGATCATGAAGAGACACTAAGTATGCAGCTGGAGCATTTTTACAATACCGAGTTCAAGGATACCCTCATGGATGTTGAAGAGAGTTTGTCACTTGAAGACCGAAGAGCGAAGCAGATTATGGATGAATCAGTGGTCCTTGTCAATGGCCACTATCAACTCAAGCTGCCATTCCGACACAATCCCCCGTGTCTTCCCGACAGTCTCCCAGTACCGAAGAAGAGACTGCACTGGTTGAGAAAGAAGATGAAAAGGAATCCTGAATTTCACCGGCAATATGCAAGTTTTATCAATAAATATCAGGAAGAAGGATCCTCAAGACAAGTTCTAGATGAAGAAGTTTCTTCCCTCAAACCAATTTGGTACATACCAGATCATGCTGTTTGGCATCCAAGGAAACCTAATGAGCCAAGGGTGGTGTTTGATTGCACCTGCAAGTCTGAAGGCATCTCCCTGAACAATTAGCTACTGCAGGGGCCAGAGAACACAAGTTTGTTGATAGGAGTGATTCTCAGATTCAGAGTTAATGGAGCAGCTGTAGCAGCTGATATCAAACGCATGTTCCATCAGGTGTTCGTGTCCCTGGAGGACCGAGGTGCTCTGTGCTATCTCTGGTGGCCAGGTGGAGATTTTACAAAGGACCCAAAAACCTTCCAGATGTTGGTTTATATCTTTGGAGCCACTTCGGTGCCCAGTGTTTGCAGTTGCACATTAAAGAGAACAGCTTTAGACAACAGCGAAACTTTCTCCTTGGAGACCATTGATACAGTCCTGAGAGACTTTTATGTTGATGATCTGCTCAAGTCCTTCAAAACCAGTGTTGATGTAGTACAGATTACAAAGGAGCTTCAAGAGCTACTTGTGAAAAGAGCATTTCAGTTCACCAAGGTGAAGTCCAACGAACGAGAAGTCCTAAACGCTTTACCACCTGAGCATCATGCACCAGCCGTCAAGAATTTGGATCTCAAGCTAAACAGCCTGCCAATGGATTGAACCCTAGGGATTGATTGGGATGTGGAGGTGGACACTTTTAACTTGGTTGTTTGCGACAAACCTCAGCCAGAGACCCAGAAAGGCATTCTGTCCTCTATTGCCACGATATGTGATCCCCTTGGTTTGGCTGGTCCCCTACTTCTGCCTGGTAGGGAGATAAACCAAGAGCTATGTAGAATGAAATATGGATGGGATGGCAAGCTCCCAGATGAATGGTGGTGACGTGGAGGAATTGGAAGAGTGGACTCGCAAGCCTTACAGGATACAGCATCCCTCGGTCCCTCACTCCTGGAGGCTTTGGAGAAGTAGAGAGAGCAGAACTCCATCACTTTGCAGACGCTTCTGAAGAACATGGATATGGAACAGTATCTTACCTGCGCTTCATTAACAGAGAAGGAAACATACAAAATAGTTTTGTGATGGGCAAATCACGGGTGAGGCCTCTAAGGAGTGGCATCAGTGTTCCAAAGATGGAGTTGACTGCTGCAACCTTGTTGATTAAGATGAACAAGCTCATCATGAAGGAGCTCGAAGGTCGCATTGAGATTCACAGCTTCACCTTCTGGACTGACTCTATGATCGTCTTGAGGTACATATTCAATGAAACAAGAAGATTTGTCTCCTTTGTTGCTAATCGTGTTGCTGTGATCAGGGAAGGATCAAGGCCCTCGCAATGGCGTCACGTCAGGTCAGAGTCTAACCCCGCTGATTATGCATCGAGAGGAATAAAGGCCTTCGAAACTGAGAAGTTGGAGATGTGGAAACATGGCCCAGGTTTCCTGTGGAAAGGCTCGCACGAGTGGCCACAGCAACCCACTGACCTCCATGAAGAACTCTCAGCTTACGATGAGGGAGTCAAGAAGGAAAGGGTCACTGTTACTGCGTGCGTTGAGAAAGAAGATTTCTGGGATGTTTTATTTGAAAGATGCGCCATGTGGGAGAAGTTAAGAAGAGCAGTGGCCTGGCTAATTCGAGCAGCGCACATGCTGATGCGACTGCTAACACGACCACCAGCGTCGCCTGCCTCATTGGTGAAACTGGAGGAGAAGACATCATACCTTTCATTGTCAGAATTAGAAGAAGCAGAGAGAAGAATCGTGAAGAATGTTCAAAATCAGGCCTTTCCTGCAGAGTTGTCCAGGCCAGATGGAAGTAAAGGCCCTCTTGCCAAGTTGAAGCCATTTGCGACAAATGGCGTCTCGCGAGTTGGAGGAAGACTCAATCGTGCAGACCTGGACTATGATGCTAAGCACCCGATTATATTGCCTGGGAAACATCGTGTTACAGAAATGATCATCTTCCATTACCACCTTGCGAACGGTCATGTGGGTCCTCACCAACTACTAGCAGAGACGAGGCAGCGCTTCTGGATAGTGAACGGCATTTCATCCATCAGAGGTGTCTTACGGCGATGCCATTAATGTAAACGCCAGAATGCCAGAGTTGGAGAACAGATTACGGCACCTCTTCCGGCAGTAAGAGTTTCGTCAGAGAGCCACCAATTGATCTGCCCATTTGCTGCCGTGGGTGTAGATTATTTTGGACCGCTCTACGTTCACACTGGACCCCTTACAAGATCAACAAGAAAGAATCCTAAGCTCCACAAGCGCTATGGTTGTATTTTCACCTGCCTCAGGTACAGAGCTGTCCACATCGAGATCGCAAGTGACCTGTCAACAGACAGTTTTATTAATGCAGTCACAAGATTTATTGCGAGACGAGGTCCTCCCAGAATGATCTACAGTGACAATGGCTCCAACTTTATAGGAGCAGAGACTGACGTTGTGAAAGCATTAAAGACTTGGGACCAAGGAAGAGTTGGAAGCGAGCTGCTTCGAAAGAATATTCAGTGGTATTTTAATCCACCTCTAGCTAGCCACCTGGGAGGTGTTTGGGAGCGGCTGATTTGCTCTGCCCGAAGAATCCTCCATGCCATGATAGGTGAACAGCTTGTTAACGAGGAGACCTTGACGACCTTCCTGGTAGAAGTAGAAAAGATCCTTAACAGCAGACCAATCACCCGAGTGTCAAGTGACCCCAACGATTTGGAAGCCTTGACCCCTAACCACATTCTGCTATTACGTCAGAATCCGTGTTCAGCGCCTAGTTAATTAGAAGATGCTGACAAGTTCCGAGCACGATGGAAACATGTGCACGTTTTGGCCAACGAGTTTTGGGCACGCTGGGTTAAAGAGTATCTCCCCATGTTGCAGGAACGCCAGAAGTGGCTTAAGCAAAGGCCAAATTTCCGAGCCGGAGACTTGGTCATTTTGAAGGATGCGAATGTTCCTCGAGGCCAGTGGCCTAAAGCATTAGTTCAGGAAACCTTCCCCGACTCTGATGGTGTGGTACGACAAGTTCTGGTGAGAAGTGCAACTGGTGTCTTCAGAAGAGATGTTCGTAAACTCTGCCTTCTGGAAGAAGAGTTACTGAAGTCTATTGAGGAGTCCATGGAGAAGAACAAAACCTGAACTTGTGACATTAGTCATTGAACTACTAAAGTAACGTTCTCTAGAGAACTGTGAATGTAGATCTGCCACATAGTTCCTGTTGTCATTCTAAGTGAATGCCTAAAGACTACCGGGGAAGTCTTTGGGGGGGGGGGGGGGG